TCTCGCTTGCTCAAAGTCAGCAAGTGGTTTCTGCCTCAGGGCCTTCGCATCTGCTTTCCCCTTGCCCACCCCCACCCATGCCGGAAAGACTTACTCCAGGCATTTGCAGAGCTGACTTCATTTAGGTTTCCACTTAAACTCACCAGCTCACAGATGATTTTTCTATCAGTCAGCTTTCACTAAATTTCGCTGCAATAACGAACCAGCCCCAAATCTTGTCGACTGGCATTGTCAATTTCTCACTCGTGTTATACATTCACCACGGGTCAGCTGCGGCTCTTCTCAGCACATCTTCTTCATTCCGAGATCCTGGCTGAAGGGGCAGATCCATCCGGGACAGGCAGCTGAAGTGACCCAAGGAAAAGAACAACGGACGAACCAGGCCGCGCCTGTAAAACATCTGCTCGGAATTGGCTGGCACTGTGCCTTCCAAATGCAAGCCAGTGGGTGAAACCTAGTGCGCAGGCTCACGTTTGCTCAGAGAAACACCGAAGCTGTGAGTTTTCGGCTTCTGCCTTGGGAAGAAAGGACACATGGGGAAAACTGGAGGGAGTCAAAAATGTTGGCAGCCGCAAAGGAAGGATCTGGAAGAAATTCATCCCCCTCTCCTTACCCGGTCTCATTTTTCTTCATAGTTTTCGCCACCCCCCGGGCACAGTGCCTGTCTGCTTTTCGATCACCTTTCTTTCTCCGACTCCCATCCAGCATGGAACCTCCGGTGGGCAAGACCTTTGTCTCTCGCTCACCGCTCTATCTTAAGCACTGTGGACAGGGCCTGGCACATAGTAGGCGCTCAATAAAGATATATCGCTTGAAAGATTTCGAGGAGCGAAGGGGCGTGGTGGGGGAGCCCAACGCGCTGCAGGAGCCAGAGGAGGGTGGTTTCACTGGGACCCCAGACCTCCCCTCAGGGCTCAGAAGTGAAGAGGGGTCAGGGAGGCAGTCAGGGAGGACCAGACAACTCCTCGTCTCAACCAACCCATTCCAAATGTCACCAATCTCCCTTCCTCACGTCCTTCCCCAGTCTCCTCCAGACGCGAAACCTGACATTTTATTTAATGCAGCGATTTTAACGGCATTGACCTTTTGGCCTTCCCAAGTGTTTACTGATCCAACTTCTCCCCTCCAGGAACATCAGCCACCAGAGGCCCTCCCCCTGCCCTCACCGCATCCCAGCCCCATCCCTGAGACTCATCTTTTCTTGACCTTATCCTTAGCTCCATCCCTAACCTTCAGCCCATCCCTGATCTTTGGCTCTGCCTCGACCCCACTTTTGAGCTTCTATCCTTCCCATTACGTGGAATTATTCAGGACCAAGCTCTACTGGTTTGTTGTCAGATGTCCCATTGCATCTGAGAAGTCAGCTGCCCCGTGGGGAAGAGACAGAATATGGGATGAGGTGGGCCGCAAATCTGAAGCCCAAAAGCCAGCAGGGGAGGAGGGCAGCCTCTAACCATCCAGAGGTTCTGGAAGGAGGGGGAACCCCGTAGGGTGACAGCATGGTCCGGAGGAGGAACCTAGCAGTCCCAGTTCCCCAATTCGGAGAATAACTCAGCATCCCAGAACAAGAGTGCCAGAAAATTGAGAGATTTCCCAGAGACCAACCTCTAGGTTTCCATTCAAAAATTCACCTACATACATCCAAGGTGAGTGACGCCCACGGCCGTGTGCCAGGAGTGGGCATGGGGTTCCAGTCCTAGAGGGTCATGGGGACAGAGCCCTCCAAAGTGACTAAAGGCCAAAGGGGGAGTTTTCTGGAAAGATATAGGGACATCATGGAACAAGGGTCAGAGTTGTTAGTGGGCCTGGTGGGGACCACGGCCAGGATGGACGCAGCAAGGGACCAGGAAGTCTTCATGCTCTGTATCTGCACATATGACTCTCTGCGTCTGTCGGCTCTCAATTCTCTCTCATCTTGCTCTGTCTTTGTGTCTCTGTCTTTCATCTCTCTCTGCCTGTCTCTCATCTTCTATCTCTATCTTTGTGTCTATTTCCCTATCTCTGAGGGTGTGTCTCTCTCCACTTCTCTCCCATTTCCGTCTCTGTCTACCTTGGTCTCTCTTTCTCTCTCTCCGCTGTACGTTGTTCCATAACCATTATTACCTCCAGATATGATGGTGTTCTGTGTATTTATCTGTAAATGGTCTGTTTTCCTCAAGCATACGGCAGGCTACGTGAAGGCAGGAATTTTTGTGTTATTTCTGCTACATCCCTGTGTCCAGAATATTGTCTGGTTCATAAACACGTTTGTTTGTTTTTTTTTTTTAATTTTTTATTGTGGTAAAATACACATACTATTAAATGTAACAACTTAACCAATTTTAAGCACACAGTTTTTGCGCAAACATCACCACCATCCACCCTAGAACTCTTTTCATCTTGCAAAAGAGAAACTTGATATCCATTAAACAATAACTCCCCATTCCCCACCTTCCCTCAGCTCCTGGCAATCACCTCAATAAATATATATTGAATGAAGAATGAATAAATCATCATTCTCACCAACATTAGTATTTGAGGATAATTATAAAGCAAAAATAATAGTCGTTACTGTTACCGCTGCTGTTTGTCGAGTACAAACTACTGTATGTGCCAGGAACTGGGCTAAGTAGTTAGTTGTTTGTTTAAGCCTTATAAACCCTCTTGTGAGGTGGATACTATTATCATGTCTATTTTTCCGATGAGGGAACTGAGGCCCCCAAAGGAGAAGCAATTTGCCGGATATGAGCGGGGTTAAGCCCTGGGGTTAAGAACTCGGGATCTGTCCCGACTGTGGGTTTGACTCAGCTCTGTCACCAGCCGCCAGCTTTAGAAAGTCATTCATTCATGCATGCATTCATTCATTCATTCATTCATGTATGCATGCATTCAGCCCACACGTGTTTCTTGACTCTCTCTGCGTCTCTCACTTTCCCGGCCGTTCCAGTGGGTACGCACGTATCAGAAGCTCCATCCCAGTTCCAATCACTTTCCAGGGCTGCAGCGCGCCCGCGCAGGCGCAGAAGGATCGGAGTCCCCGGCATGCACAGGGAAGCCCCGCCCAGGTCTATTCCCGTCGCGGCGCTGGAGGAGACAGGATAATTTAACCTTCCGCTCCGCCACCCCCAGGCTCCGGTGGCTTGCGGCCCCCGGGGGGATTCCTAGGCAGGACCTCAGGATCCGAACCAGTGGCGGCCGCGCCGGCAGAGCGAGCAGACGCCGGGCGAGCGAGGAGGAGGCGCGCCCCTGCCCGGCTGCCCAGCTGCCCTTAGGAGCCGCAGCATGGCCAGAGCCGCCACCTGGACGTGGCCGCCGTTGCTGCTGTCGCTGCTGTCGCTGCTGTCGCTGTCCTGGGCGCCCGCGGGAGCCGGTGAGTGAACCCTCACAGTCCCTGGGCCCCTGCTTTCCCTGTCACCACCAACTCGGGCGCTCGGCCTCCTGGGCACCCCAAGGCTGAGCGCGCTGACCATCGCCCCCCAGCCCCCTTCTCCCCAGAGTTGGAGGGACATGGGAATACCTGGAAAGCAGCTGGATTTCGGTAGGGTGAGGATCAGCCGAATGACTCATGAGACACTTCACCAGGCCCAGATCATGCTCCTAAGTCCCGCTTGTCCACTGATGGCTATAGGCGGGTGGGGGGGGCGGGGCGCAGTAGCTCTAAGGGTGTGGTCATTCATTCATTCATTCATGTATGCATGCATTCAGCCCATACGTGTTTATTGAGCACCTACTATGTGCCAGGTGGTGTTCCAAGCACTAGAGATGCAGCTCTGAAGTCAGATAGCCCTGGGTTCAAAACAGCTTTAGGCATTAATACCTATGTGAGCTCAGGAAAGTGACTTAAGCTCTCTGTTCCCATAAAATGCCTTAGGGGTGAGGGAATCCTATCTCCCTCGTATGACTGGGGAGGATGCTGAGCAATATTGAATGCACTCAGTAAAAACAATGATGACTAATAATTCGTGTAAACAGTGATAATACTTGAATGTAACCTTGGGGAAGCCAGAGCCACTCCGCTCAGCATTTCCCAGAATCTGGGTGCTTCTCCAGAAAAGAGGGTGCTGAGGCTTGAGGAGTTCACAGAGAGCCACTGACCTAAAGCCCCTTCAGGAGAAACCCAGCATGGGTCCTATTGTGACCCCTTTTACAGATGAGGAGACTGAGGCACAGAGAGAAGTAACTTGCCCAAGGCGCCCAGCAGGAAGTAGCAGTAGCAGTGGCCAGAGTCCCCTCCACCAGAGCAGAAGAGCCCAGTGCCAGGGAGCCTGGGCGCAGGGTGGGCTAGGCCTGGCCTGGGTCTAAACTCAGGCTCTGCCCCTTGTTTGCTGGCCCGACCCTTCAAGGCTCACTTGCCCCCTCTGTCCAATAGTTGAAAATACTAGTACATCTGTCATGGGGCTGTGGAAAGGGTTGGAGGAGGCCACACGTAAAGGAGCAGCTCAGTGCCTGGCTCGAGTGTGGTGGGAACACGGAAACATGCAGACAGGAAGACCACTTCACCCAGTTTCATCTTCATGGCAGCCTTGCTAAGGAGGAAATCACCAGAGAAGGAGACTTCCTTGCCCAGAGCTGCACAGCATGTCAGCGGTAGAGCGGGCATGGCATGCGAACCCAGACGAGCTGCTCACCAATTCCCCGTGTCCAGACTGTGCCCTCCCGCCGCAAAGCAGGCTCCGGGTACCCCTGCCCACTACGTCTCGGCTTCCTCTTCCTCATAATAATAATAATTATAATATTTGCCTTTTGGAGTGCTTGGCACGTGCGTATAGATTTATACAGGTTTTAGCGCTTAGTCCTCTCAACAACTCTATTAAGTCGTAACCATCCCCATTTTACAGATAAGGAAACCGAGGCTCAGGGGAGTGAAACCACCTAAACAAAGGGCCGTTGCTAGTGAGTGGCAGGACTGGGGTTCAAATAACTCTACTCCTTTCCACCTTATTATCCTTATTATTATTACTAAAAATGCATAGCATCGTGTTTACTGATATCAATAAGAGCCAACATGCGTTGAAGACCTACTTTGTGCTGGAACCTTAGGCAGGAAGATTTTCATATGGTGGATTAGAGGTGGATTAGAGGTCAGGACTCTTGTGTGCAGGTGGCCCAGGTTCAACTCCCACCTCTGCCAGTTACCCTCTGGGTGGCCTGAAGCAAATGACTCTGGGCCTCAGTTTCCCCATCTGTAAAGTGCAGCTGACAGTAGTGTTCGCCTCAAGGAGCTGAGTTGAAAGACAGAGATGTGGGAAGCCCTCAGAACAGCCCCCAGTCTATGTTAGCAACCTGTGAGTGTTAAGTGTTATTAGTCCCATTTTAAAACTGGCACAAAGCATCAGAGAGGTTAAGTAACCTGCTGAAAGCCTCACAGCAGAGGTCTGAAGGGATCCAAAACCCTTGAGCTACATACAGCTGCCTCCTTTCTTGTGCCAGGATCTCCTACAAACTTTCCCAAGCCGGCTCCGCACAGAATAATAATAATAAATAATAATAATAATAATAA